AGCATTAGATATAAATATTAATATTAATATATTAAATATATATATAACAACGAAATATATTATAATTTATATTAAGCAATAATAATGATATTATATCAGTATTATAGCTATACATTATTATTAATTGGATTAAGTATAATTAAGCATTATATATAAATACTAATATTAATATATTAAATATATATAACAACGAAATATATTATAATTTATATTAAGCAATAATAATGATATTATATCAATATTAGAGCTATACATTATTATTAATTGGATTACATATAATTAAGCATTATATATAAATACTAATATTAATATATTAAATATATATAACAACGAAATATATTATAATTTATATTAATATTAATAGTATTAATATTAATAGTCTTTTCATATTATTATTAATAATAAAGATTATAATAATGATGGACATAATGATGATCATGATAATAATGATAATAATGATAATGATGATAATGATAATGACGATGATAATAATAATGATAATGATAATGATAATGATAATGATAATGATAATAATAATAATAATAATAATAAATAATTCAGTTCCATCCTCTCCTTCCCAGGGTTCCTCCTCATTCCAGGCCAGAACCCAATGGAAGGAGCAGCAAAATTCCCAATTCCACTGGAGCCAAATCCAGCCTGGATTTTCCTGCCCAGGAAACCTCAAAAAGCCAAATCCTGCTTTATTTATCCAGTTTATTTTCCAAAAGCCTCCCAGGCCGTTCATTTCCCCAATTATTTTATCTGCTGCTCTTTTATTTTGTATTTTTTATTTATTTTTTATTTTATTTTTTATTTATTTTTTATTTTTTATTTATTTTTTTATTTATTTTTTATTTAATTTTTATTTTTTTAATTTATTTTTTATTTAATTTTAATTTTTCATTTTTTATTTTTTATTTTATTTTGGGGTTTTTTTTCCCCCCAGTTTCTTTTTCCTGTTGTTTTCCTGCCCCCATCCAGGGAATTTTCTCCCCCTTTTTGTGCAACCCCCCCCCCAGCTTAAAATGAAATGAAATTTAAATTTAATTTATATTTATATATTATTTATATCTATATTTATATTAATATATATTTATATATATATATCTATATTTATATATTTATATTTATTTCTATATTTCTATATTTATATTTATATTTATTATATTATATATATTATATTATATATATTATATTATATTATATTATATATATTATATTATATATATTATTATATTATATATATTATATATA